TGCCGAAGAAGAGATTTTTTTGAGAAACTAGTTTGAAACTGCAGTTTTTGTCTTTAGTTGCCTGGAAGAAATAAACACTGTGGAACAAATAAGAAAGCTCTATCTGAGAATTACGATTTTGTCAATGAGTCAAATTCTGGGCAGATCTCACCTGGAGCTTCACAGTTGAGAATGGCAACTGTTTAAAGGAAGAAAAAACAATGTAATTGGTTTTATTTTCTGAGAATCTTAAATTATGAAAAATTATAGCCGTAGGAATTTAAAATTCTCAGTATCATACTTAATAACGAGAATATATATGTTCATCAATTTTCTTATTGGGGAGAATGGAGACTGTCTAGATGTGAAAAAAAAAAAATCACTAAAAGAGCCTTTCGTCTTGCAATTCAGCTTAACTGTTACAAAAGAGCTCATAAAAATAGTTTTTTGCCCCAACATTTCTGAAGCTTCAGCACTGAACAATTGAAAGGAAACCTACATGGATCTAGACATTCCAAAATCATTTAATTCAACTTCCTTTTTTTAGATAGAGGTAGAAAAAAAGTCAATATTTTCTTCCCTACCTTAGCTATGCCCTTTAAAGCCACCAAGTTTTATGACTCATTATGAAGACTTTGTAAAAAATTATCAACACTACCAGGAAACAGAGATAGATACCTATATGTTCCTAAATAACAGTGACTACACCAGTGCAATTCTAACAAGCCTCAGAAGTATTATATGACCTTAAAAAAATACATTTATAAAGAGTATGTCTACATAAAAAATAAACTATTCTGGTTTGAAAACAACTGAGACATAAATTTGCTTAAGAACCCATGAAATTGTTTAAAGCTACTTTATTTTAAAAACAGAGATCCTTGAGGAACAAAGGCTAGCCTGCAAATGCAGAAGATTTAAAAAAAATTCATCTCCTCATCAAAAGGGGGAGAATGCAGAACAGAATTTTGATTCTCATGGAATCCAGAGTTTCTGGAGCCATGGGGGCTGGATGAACCCCTGAAACTATTACTCTAAAATAATCATTAAAATTTAAACCAAAAATATCCCCTGAAGTCTACTTAAAACCAAACAATGATTTAGCTTAACTAGTTAAAAATATCTGCCTTGATTGAGCATTATGCTCTTTTAAGAACTACCTATATTGAATTATGGAGCCCTGGTGGCACAGTGGTTAAGAGCCTGGCTGCCAACCAAAAGGTCGGCAGTTTGAATCCACCAGTTGCTCCTTATAAACCCTGTGGGGCAGTTCTACTCTGTTCAGTAGGGTTGCTATGAGTCAGCACTGACTTGACAGTAACGGGTTGGTTTTGGATATGGGATCAAAGTGACAACAGCAACTTGAAAGATTAGATAGGAACCTTAGGGGGTATCGAGTTTATATTAATGGGAGAGGAATAATTCAGAAAAGGAGGGTGAGAATGGTTGTACAACTCAAAGAATGTAATCAAAGTCACTAAATTGTACATGTAGAAAGGTTGAATTGGTGTATGTTCTGCTGTGTATATTCTCAACAACAACAACAATAAAAAATTTTTTAAAAAAATTCATCTCCTCCTCACTGCTGAGCTGGTAGAGGTGGTGGGCAGTGGTATTCAACTAGCATTCAAAAGTTTAATAAATAAGAAAGGGCCAAGGATGCAAAAGAATGTTACTTCTAGAGCTCCCGTAGCCATGTGACCATAAACACAGAGGTACCATGTGAAGCTGAAGCAAGTCCTCAACATGGACTGAAACAGAACTCAGCCCATAAGGAGAGGAAGGAAAGCATGACCACTGAGGTAACCACTGAGGCCCTCCAAAATGAGAGTAGTCCCATCATGTACCAAATTCCTATATTTTCTACATAATTTCTACCCTAGTTAATCAAGTTCCTGTCTGTGACGTGTCTTAATGGAACATAACACTTCGTAGTTATTAAATATATTGCTGTAAAATGTCCCCCTCTTTCCCTAAGTTAAAATAAACATGAAACAGTTTGTAAAAATCATTTGTTATAAATTTGCCCAGAGGGAGTGGGAGGAGTGGAGGAGGGAAAGCTAGAGGATAATTAGGTGGGAGAGAAAAGAGCCATAGGTGAACAGTGTTGTGATCTAATGTAAACTTGGACTGGAAATCAGGAATCCTGATTTCTAATCCTAGCTCTGTTAATAGTTAACTAAACTACCTTCTTTAGACATTGAGCTTTCTCATCTAAAAATGAAGTGGGAGTAGGGGTTGCATTCATTCAAGAGCAAGCATCCATCCTGGAACAAGATATCCCCAAAGGGAGATCTCACTCGGAGCTTCATAGTTGAGAATGGCAAACTGTTCACAAGAAGAAAAAATCTCTTAGGTTACTGAGGAAAGGGATATTTCTGATTATTCTGTTGGGGGATGGGAGGACTTGGTAAAAAATTATATTACCAGAGAACAGTAAAGAAGAGGGGTCCATGAAAGTTGCCAGTTCAACACCACCTGCATGGCAGTCTCATACCAGTGCTAGATATTTTATATTCAGAGAAGAATGTCATAGTCCCTGCCTTTAAGATGTTCTCTATGACCCTGTCTTTTTCCAAGAATTCAATAAAAAGGAAACAATGGCTTCTAGAGTCTTAACATTCATATTTCAGTTAAGAAAAATGAGGCTTAGAGAAATTAACTTCAGGTATCTAAGTTTGTTTTTGTTTTGTTTTTTACTTCAAATCCAGTGCTCTAACACATAGGAATAAGTGACCATATAAGTGTTATCTAGCTGTATTAATAAAAGTCCTATCAGTCTACCAGTTAAAGAAAATTTAAAAATTAGATCAAAATTCCTGCCTACTGCTAATAATATGAAATCCACCTATAATAGGTTTGCCTTGTTATTGTTCATAAATTGCAACGCATACATATATGTATCTGTCTTCAAACTTAATGCCCACTATCCTGCACTCCACCTCCAGGTCAGGGACCATTGTCCAAATCATCTCTATTCCCAACGCATGACACAGAGCAAGCACTCAGGCTATGCTGGTTGAATTAGCGATCTCCACAGCCCCTTACAGAAACCTCAGTGGCATAATGGTTAAGACCTATGGCTGCTAACCAAAAGGCTGGCAGTTCAAATCCACCAGGTGCTCCTTGGAAACCCTACAGGGTCGCTATGAGTCAGAATCAACTTGACGGCATCAGGTTTGGTGGGTTTTTTTTTGTTTGTTTGTTGTTGTTTTTGTATAGCCCCTTACAGGTCTAAAACTGCCTGACAATCTGACATCAAAACATGACCAAGACCAATACAATAACCAATAAACATCCAAAGGCTATTCAAGGTCACAAATATATAAGCTTAACTCACCTTAAGGCTTAACTCATCTTAAGACTTTTTAGAATATTACCACTATGAGCTTTAAATATATTTCTGCAACTATAGCCACAAGTAAGGAGCCCTGGTGGTGCAAACAGTTAAGTGCTCAGCTGCTAACCAAAACGCTGGTGATTCAGAGTGGGAGAAAGACCTGGCAATCTGTTTCATAAAGATTACAGCCAAGACAACCTCATGGGTGAGTTCTACTCTGTCACATGGGTCACTATGAGTTGAAATCAACTCGAGGGCACCTAACAACAGCATAGGCACAAGTACAGATCTCACTATAAATGACATAAAATTAAGAATTCCCAATTTTGATTTAAGCAACTCTATAGTTTATCTGTAAACAAATACAGGCAGCCAGAACGAGGGGTAATAAAGTAAAAAGAGGAATAAGAAATATAAATTACAATCAGAAAATTGTGCCTGTGTGTCTATAAACACGCACACTAATTGTATTGCCTTCTAAACTTTACCTACAGAATTTGTAAGTTTCTTTCACATTTGATTGTAGTCAAGATCCCTGAAAAGGGTATGAAAAGCACAATATAACTCTTGAAAAGAAGGATTTACAAATTGGGAATATTTTCCTATCTTCCTAGAGATTAAAAAAAAAAAAGATAAGTGTCAAAAGCTGACTCAAGAGAAATCGCTTTTTCAGTAACGTGCACTGAAATAAGTATTCTCTGACTACTTCTTTGCTTATTTATCTTACTAAACCAACAAAGGAGCCCTGGCGTTGCAGTAGTTAAGTGCTCGGCTTCTAACGAAAAGGTCAACAGTTCGAATCCACCAAGTGCTCCTTGGAAACCCTAGGTGGCAGTTCTACTCTTGTCTTTAGGGTCGCTATGAGTCAGAATCAACTCGATGGCAACAGGTTTTTTGGTTTTTTAAAACAACAAAACTCTATGATTTAATTTCGAGAATATCACATCAAATCTCAAATACAAATACCACAAAAAATTTGTTGAAATGGCAAATATTTTGTTGTGTATATTTACTACAACAACAACAAAAAAGTATGTTAAAAAATAAAAGCAGTTACCGAAAAAAGTAGAAGCCGATCTGGGAGAAATTGAGAAGAGGGATTTTCAAGATAAAAAAGTTGGGATCAAGTTCTAAACACCAAACTGACCGTATTTAAATAAAGGTCACTGAAATAAATGATTAAGCATTATTAAACACAATCCCTTCTAATTTCAAGAATTTCCAAACTATTTGAATAGATTTAGACTCCACGCAAACAGCTGTGCAAAGTGACTTCCCTTTCTCTTTCACAAAACCACACCCGTACACACATGCGTCCCCCACACCAGCTGAGTCCTTTACTACAGTAAAGAAATCGGGGCCGAGAAAGGTTGTCTGCTTTTCCGGAAGACGCAAAACTGCAGATATGGCACTAGCGTGCTGACCGGACCTGAATGCACAGAAACCAGGTGTGAATGGCAGGGAAGGCCTCTGGCGACAAAGGAACAGAAAGTCTCGCTCCCCAAAGTGCTCTCAACTTCTCCTCCAAAAATGACCATGTAGACCGGGTTCCTCTTCCCAGAGTGACAAATCAAAGCTAACCCCCGAGGCGCGCAGGAGCCCGCACCGGGGTGGCCACCGAGCCAGTTCCTGAACGCTCCCGTCCCTGGCCCCGAAACCTCCCCGAGCCCCCGCGCTGTACCTGGCGAAGAACTCCGCGAAGCCACCGCTCCGTCGAGCCCGGGCCGAGGCCGCCACGGTCCCCTGCTCCGCAGCGGGAAGGGGCTGCGGCAGCGCCGGCGGGGGCAGGTGGTCGCCAACGCTCTGGCTGCGGCTAACCTCGAACGTGTTCCGAGAGTTCAAGTGAACGTTGGAGAAGCCCAACAGTGACTCCGCGCCCGCGCCCCCACTAGTCCTCTCGGCCGAGGCGGCGGGGAGTGCGCCCTCCTCGGGACCCCCGGCGCCGGCTACCGGGTGCTCCAAGTCCTCGCTGCTGCCGCCGCTGGCGGAACTACCCCCTGAGTCGCTGCCCGCGCCCTCTTGGCTTTCGGCGCCTGCGGCCGCCAGACAGCAGCTCCGCAGCGGGTCCTCCAGCGGCGCGGCCCAGTCGGAGGGGCTGCCTGCGCAGTCCGCGCCCCCGTCACCAGGCCTTTCCAGGCAGAGACGGCCGCAGGGGCGGCGGCCGCGCGGCTCCCGGCCGCCGGCGCGGGGCAACCCACGAGCCTCCTCCAGGTCGCGACAGTCCTGGTCCAGCAGGAAACCCGAGTCCCCGTTGGTCATGCCTCCGTGCCGCAGCGCGCGGCCATCCGCCGCCACCTCCGCGCTGCGGTGCTTGGAGGCTGAGCCCAGCTTGCAGGCGCCCGACCGCGGGGCTGCCGAGGGCGGCAGGGCGTGGGCCTGGCCAGCGGAGAGCGGACAGTAGAAGAGACCTGGCTCTAGCTGCCCTCCGGCCGCCGCGAGGTAACGCTGAAGGAGCTGACGAGGCGGCGTCTCCTCCTCCGCTTCCTCCTCCTCCTCCTCCTCCTCCGGTGGCTCCACAGCGCCGACGCCTCCGCCAAAGCCGCCCGTGGCCCGGATTATCTTCCCGTCCTGGCCCACGGGCTCCGGCGCCGGCACAGGGAGCAACTTGGGGTTTCTTCCCGAACAAGCTCCAGCATCCTCGGGACCCACCATCTGAGGGCCAAGCGACCGCCGCCCAAAGAGGCAGCGGAGCACTCCCGGGCGCAAGCCCTGTCCAGGATTCGCCCTAGGTGCTGGGGCCGCGGCGGCTGCCGCCGCAACGTTCCCAGACCCACCCCTCCCACCAAGAGTTCGGACAGTTGCGGGAGGCCGGGCACGCGCCTGGATTTGCGCACGCGCAAAAGCCAGACCGGTCAAGTCCCGACCTGGAGATTCCCCGAACCATAGAGACGGTAGCTAGAGAGCCCTGCTCCCTGACACTTTTCAGGCTGCCAATCTGGGATCCGCCGTTTGGATGGTGAAGGCTGGTTGGCCAACTTCGAGCATGACACTTCTTACAAAAGCAAGTATTGCTCACTTAGCAAAAATTCACTTGACGTATTTAATTTATGGGAGTAGAATACAGGATATTAGATGTGGGTAAATCCTTCCAGCTCTAATTGGTCACCACCAGCCGATTTTACATCCCTTTTCTCTTTTCCCATTGCCATACTTCAGGACTTCACCGCATCATACCAACACCCTCCCTACTTCAGTTCATCTTCCACAATGCTACCAAAGTTACTTTTCTTATCTAACATCAAGTTTCATCACATCGCTCTGTTTCACCATCTCCATTATCACCTAATGAGGGATAGATAGGGAGTCAGGCTGACAGGGACTGTGGAAATAATTCCAGCACCTGGCGATAATGGTTTAAAATGGGATGATGACAATTGAGTGGAAATGAAGCAAGTTTAAGGTAGAAATCACAAGACGTGGTAACTGATGAGATATGAGGAGTATTAGAAGAGGGAGTAGCCAACAATTACTACAAAGCTCTGAGAATTAAACCAATGTGGTTTGAAGAAATAGAGAATTGGATTGGGAAAATAGATCTGGTAAAGTAAAAAAGACTGATTGGAAATATTCAGCATATAGTTAGAATTCTAAAACTTGGGGTAAAGTTTAGATCTGAAGATGAAGATTGGAGAGTCATCTTCATAATGGAACTAGGTGAGTCATGAATGACAATCACCTAGGAATAAACAATAAAGATGGAGGTGAGGACAGAGAACTGAGGCTTTGGCAATAAAAGTATAAAAATACTAGTAGGGACAGAGACCTGGGGTTTTGGCAAAATACTAAGGTATCTTTATTTCAGGATGAATGAGGAAGTTGGATTGCAAGAAATTAAGAAGCACCAGTTATGGATGAAATGAAGCAGCAAATACAGACCACTCATTCCAAAAATGTGTCAATGAAAGGATAGAAATAGAAGAGTAGGGTAGTAATTAGAGGAAGCAGTATGCCAAGCCTTAAAAAGAATCTGATAAGAAAATATGTACATATACACAAAAGGGTGAATATAACATTGTGGTGAAATGAGTTCCTTTATGTGGCCTTTTGCCATGGTTCTTCGGAAAAACAGCTTGAGAGATTTTTCCCTTAAACCCTAAGGAGTTACCTTTGCCCTAGTTTTCTACTCTAAAGTGTTTGTTAGATTTCCTGGGGTAAGTTTTAAATGACTTGGTTTGATACTTTTTGTCTAGCCCTAGTCTGCAGGCTGCCCTGTGATTGGTATGCACTTTGCAGGGATTGGTCAATATACTATGTAAATGAAGTGACTATGGACTGTGCAAATGAGGTGAGTATAGCCTACTTTGCAAATGAAGTGTCTATGGCCTACTAAGGGAGGATTGGTCAGTTTGTGGCCCCTCTCTGGGAGGAGACCATTCCTTGTAATTGACAAGGAGTTGTGTATATATGCAGCTAACCCCACAGAAGTTTTTTAGGCAGAAAGAGAAGTAGCAGGAAGAAGCAGAAGGAAGAAAGAAGAGAGAAGAAGTAGAGAGAGAGAGAGAGAGGGAGGTGGAAAGGAACCTAAAAGCTGTAACACGGGTCAAGGGCTGTAACACTGAAGACAGCAAAAGGCCTAAAAGAGGCCCAGTGTCAGAGTTAGTGGTGACAGACGACTGGACCAAGAGGAGCCCATCCTCAGGGAGCCGAGAGGAGGCCAGTCCTGAGGGTGCTGAGAGGAGGCTTGCATGACCAAGAGGAACCGAGACAGATGCGTGCACTAAAGGGAGACTTTGCCTACATGCTTTCCTAATCCTGATCCTGAGTCGTAGCCTGTTGATCCTGATCCCAAGTTGTACCCTTTTCCTTAATAAACCACTTAACTGTAAATATGGTCTGTCAGTTCTGTGTGGCCATTGCAACAGATTATAAATCCAGCAGAGAAGTAGAGAATGCTGTGGGGGAGAGGCTGGTGATAGAATTGGTAAAAAGGTTGGAGAGTGGAGGTATGTCTGACCTCCACTGCAAGGGAATCCTGGTCATTATCGCCCCTGAAGTTAGACAGATTCTGGCGATGCTACTACTCCTACTTGCATTTTACACACGTATATAGGAATAATAATAAGTAAATAAAATGGACATCCATGTACCCATTATCCAGTTTAAGAAATCTCAGGTGTTTATATATACCAAAAAACCAAACCCATTGCCGTTGAGTTGATTCTGACTCATAGAAACCCTACAGAACAGAGTAGAACTGCCCCATAGAGCTTCCAAGGGGCGCCTGGTGGATTCAAACTGCTCACCTTTTGGTTAGCAGTTATAGCACTTAACCAGTATGCCACCAGGGTTTCCATATATAATATATATATATATATATAATGAGCATTTTTTTAAGGCCCTAGGGAAGGACTAAGATGCAAGGGCATAGTTAGCAATGCATTATTGTCAAGATCTTTAAGATAAAGGAAAAAATGAGTTCCAGGACACAAGTGGAAAAGTTAATATTGGATTTCGCCTAAAACACAATAAAATTAAAAAAAGAAAAGTTAATATTGGAGAGGTCTAGACATAGTGACAGCTATATGATGAAAAAGATGAATATAGCCTAGGATGTTTAAACTCAATCTTTTATGTTTTCAATCTTTTTCCTCTCCTTCTAGAGAATTGACCTTGCAATTTTCTTTCTGCTGTCAAACCTTGCCTAATTAGTTAACTTATCCCTTTCTGGCTACAACTATATTTCTTTCTGTATGCAATCATACTATTTTTTAACTTCAGTTTCTCAAAATGGTTCACTTTTGTTAATCTCCTTCCACTCCCATGATCAATAGCAGCAGAGGTTTTATGAACCACAACAGCCCATACAACTCTACTGTACTCTCAGTACAAACTCCCGCTCTGAAACACATATTTATATTTTCAAACTTTGTCTTCAATAAAATTTAATGCTTAATAAATTATATCAAGGATTCTTGATATTTTTTCCACCTTTCAACAGTAAAATTTACTGTCTTGTCAGGTAAGTAATGTCATATCCTATTTTACAAAGAAAAAACATCTACTTTCAAAGGGTAGCTGTCTTAGGCTGGGTTCTCTAGAGAAGGAAAACCAGTAAAGGGTATAAATATATATAGAGAGAGATTTATATCAAACAAACAGTTCACAGAAGGATAGAGATTGGAACATCCCAAGTCCTTGGGTTAGGATAGAGGCTTCTCCCGATTCATGTAGCTGCACGGGCTGGTGAACCCAAGATCGGCAGATCGGGAAGCAGGGCTCTTGCTCACAGGCTGTGAAGATCGATGAATCCCAAGATTGGCAGGCAAGACCAAAAAGCTTCTCCTGATGCACGTAGCTGCAGGGGCTGGCAAACCCAAGATTGGCGAGTTGGAGAACAGGGCTCCGCTCACAGGCTATGAAGATTGACAAATTACAAGGTCAGCGGATAAGCTGATAGCTCAAGTCCCAAGAACCAGAGGTCAGACGAACAGGAGGCAGCCACAGGATCTAGAGCAAGCAAAAAGCCAGAACGTCTGCTTATATTCAGATGCAGGCCATACCCCCAAGGAAACTCCCTTTCAACTGATTGGCTACTCACAGTAGATTCAATCATGGGAGTGATCACATATAAACACTGAGAATCATGGCCCACCCAAGTTGACACACAATCTTAACCATCACAGCAGCATATCCTTTTTGTAGTCTCTTAAGTTTGGCATTAAAAACTTTTATCCCTACCTCACACCATATATGGAATTAACTCAAACTGGATCAATGACCTAAATATAAAAGCTAAAGCTATAAAACTTTTAGAAGAAAACACAAGGATAAGTTTTCAAAACATTTTATTTGCAATGAATTCTTAGATAAAGCATCAAAAGACATTATGAAGAAGTCAAAAGATGATCTACAGAATGGGAGAAAATATTTGGAAATCATGTATCTGTTAAGAGTTTAATATCGAAAATATATAAAGAACTCCTACAACTCAACAACAAACAACGAGAAGAATCTGAATAGAATTTCTCCAAAGAAGATATACAAATGGCCAATGAGCATGAGAAAAGATGCTCAAATGTCATTAGTCATTAGGGAAATGCAAACTAAAACCACAATGAGATACCACTTCACCCCCACTAGGATGGTATGATCAGAAAAACAGAAAATAACAAGTGTTGGCAAGGATATGGAGAAATTGGAACCCTTGTGCATTGCTGGTGAGAAAGTAAAATGGTGCAGCTTCTGAGAAAAACAGTTTGGTGGTTCCTCAAAAAGTTAAATATAAAATTACCATATGACTTGAAATTCCAAAAGAATTGAAAGCAGAGACTCAAACATTACTTGAACATCAGTGTTGATTGCAGAATTATTCACAATAGCCAAAAGGTGAAAACAACCAAGTGTCCATCAGCAGATGAATACGTAGGTGAATAAAATGTACTATATACATACAATAGAGTATTATTCGTCTATAAAGATGAATGAAGCTCTGATATATGCTAATACACGGATGAACCTTGAAAACATCATGTTAAGTAAAACAAGTCAGACACAAAGGACAAATATTGTATGATCCCACTTATACAAAATGTCTAGAATAGGCAAATGCATAGATAAAAAAGTTTATTAGTGGTTACTAGGGGCTGGGGGAGGGAGGAATGAGGAGTTATTTTTTAATGGGTACTGAGTTTCTGACTGGGGTGATGGGAAAGCTTCAGAAATAGTGCTTACGGTAGCACAATATGGTAAATGTAATTAATGTCACAAATTATACACTTGGAAATGGTTAAAATGGCAAATTTTATGTTATATATACTTTAACAATAAAATTTAAAAAATTA